TCCACAACATCTTAATCATAAGACCAAGTTTCTTTTTATTTGCATAACTGGGGTGGGAAAGATAGCAAACTAAATAATTGTAATATAGGCATGACAAAATACAGCTTTCATTTGGGAAGTATCATCTTCAAAAGGACAAGCTTCCACCCTTCCATCTGAAAGCCACCCCAACCCATCCACTTCATATCCCTGTCTACGATTTCAACAAAGAAGGAAATGTTAGTATGCAAAGTTCACACTAATTTCTAGGAACTACAAGGAATGTTAAGAACCACCACTTCAGCCATGAGAAAAAGAAACAAAAACATTTACATTTCTGAAGCCTCATAAACCTACCAATTCCACAGGTACTAACTTCAAAACTATGCAGGAAGACAGGATAAAAAGAAATTAAGATCACTGGGAATCCACCAGTGCTATGATCCACCATGGGAACACACTAGAACCAATTCAGCTCTGATGAATTTTGATCTTTTAAGCAAAGTCAAAGCTTGCTCTAGCATTTTGAGAAGTGACCGTGGCTTGTGTTGTCTAAAAAACTTGGAGTGCATATTTTGCAAATGCTTCTGGACTAAACATCTATCATGTAATCTCCCGTATACGTTCAGGTGGTCCTTTCAGTCCTATGCTCCAGCGGAGTTGTCTGTTTCTGCTTTTTGACGCCTTCAATAGCAGCATTGCAGGATTTGAGCTCTATCATTACTGTTACAACAGAGGCAGCATTCTGAAGTCAGATTCTGATCTGAGTTACAGTGGAATTCTGACTCAGAACATTGCAGGAACCTAAATATTCTAATGTATCCTACAGATATTTGTCGGTGGGAGAGGGTACACAGTAAATTTCAGCAAAGAAGCTGCCTTTCACATAGAAAAGTGCTAGTTTCCAAGAGTGAACGGAAAAATAACTACAAGATCCTTAGGATCTAAATCTAGTCCCCAGAGCAAAGGTCACAGCAGAAATGTTTTATTCAGCGTAAGAACTTTTGGAATTCATTCAAGAAGAAGAAAAAACCCAACAACAACAACATGGCTGACATTTTTTTCCCACTGAACTATTTCTTCCTTTTTAAACAGGGATACAAGTTTCCATGATTTGGCAACCACCAATGAATTGTGCCTCCCTACAGCAATAAACAGGTAAACCAACACAATAGTCTAAGCATCAGTCTCTGGAAGCATAAAAAGCAAGGAAGCAGGGAGAGAAACAAATAAAGGGGAAAACACTGCTGATGGAGTTATGTTCATTTGCAGCAAGTTAGTAGTCCCTGAACTCAGCTAAATTTGGTGCATGTTTAAGCTCAGTGCAACATTGGATGGCAGGTTATAACCTGAACCAATGTGAATGCTTCATTAGTCTCGTGAGGTTTGTAGGATGCATCTATAGCATGGTCAGAAGTGTGCAGTCATAGCACAGACAGGCATACCAGATGCAGCCACTTAGTTAGCTCAGGCAAAAAAGAAAAACAATAAACAATAAAGTTGCAGTAGCACAGATATCAGTGTGTATCTCTACCCAGCAGCAATGCCTCTCCTTGCTTTTTCACCACCCTTAGAGGTACCCAAAGTAATTAATTTAACCTGTGCCCACTCATGATAAGAGTATTCCTCTGAGTACCATACAGAGCTTGCTTCATCTTGGACTCTAAACCGCTCTACCTTGCAGCTCCTTTGCTGTTGAGGGAACCTGCTTGCCATGCACGGGCTGCTCGTACAGTAAAGCGGTTTAGAGATTAGTAACATGGTGCCCTCCCGAATCCTTTCTACTTGAGTAGGCCACTGCCTTTGTGGGAATTGCAAATCAAACGCAGAACTTGCTAGACCTAAGCCATACACAGCTCAACCTAAAACTGGGTTCCATCTCTGCTCTCACACCTTATGACAGTCACCTACTACAGCTTTGAAAGATGTTGGTCTTTTCTATGCTGTACAATCAAACCATGTTTTAACCATGTAGGTCCACACACACAGCTGGCATTACAATGCAGCTGGCAGCTCCTGAGTGCCAGCCACAATTGTCTCACACACTTTTGTGGCAGGAGCAATGCATATTAATTAACCTAGGCTCAAAGGGAGAACCTAGCACCTTCAGACAACAAAGTTCTTCTCTGGCCTCCATTTTCCTTCTATTCTAAATGCAAAGCTCTAGTCCTGTTTCACTTCACATGCACTGTTTAGACATGGCTCTGCATAACACAAATGTATTTTTGTAATCCCTTCTCTTTCTGTTTTACTTCCCCCCCCAACTTCTCTAGAGACATGCTAGAATGTAGCATGTCATTGTCACGTGAAAAATTTTTACATTTACCTATCATTTCAAGCCATGAAAACACACCTTCATTCCAATTATTATTTGTTTTTAAAGAAAACCTGTAGTTCATTTTGAACTGAGAAAAAAACCACCATGAAGCCAACACTGAACCGAAAATCTTACCATATTTATTGTCCTGCATTATTGCAGATGGTTACAAGCTGCATTTCAGAAATTATATTCCACTTGCTACCAAGTTCTTAAGCATAGATGTTTTCTTCTAAAGAAGCCATATAAAGACCCCCTAAATAAATAAGAACACTGCTGCCCAGATTCCCAAGCTAGTTCAGAACAGACATGACTCTCCAGCAGAGTTTTCTGCTTGTTTGAAAGACAGAAAGATTAGCCCCATTGAATGTAGCTTGGGAGAGCGGACTGTTTAGTTAAACTCCTAAGTAGTTGTACTTACTGCTGTGGAAATGTCTGAGGATGACAGACTAGACAATGAATTCTTCTGTGCACAGACATGTACAGCATAACTTTGTTGTTATATTTGCATTACATGTTGTTGATTAAGATGTAGTACAAAGGATTATTCCTTACTCCTCAAACCTTGTTTAACTGGGTAAAATGGTGGAATAGAAATAACTGCACAGAAGAGGGAGTCATTTGCTAGATGCTGCACTACTAATTAGCGGTAGAACAAGAAAAAAGATTTAGCTTCAAGTTTAGCTTCTATTCACCACGCTGTTCACTAAACCATGCCACCTCCAGACAGCAGTGCAGATTGGTAATCATTTCTTTCCTCTGTGGCCTAAATCTGATTTAGTGACTGCCTTTAAAAACCAAGTGACAACAGCTTTATCGGGCTGTACCCCTTATTTCTCTCATCTGCCTTATTATTACCCCTACTGAACTCCAGATTTCACTTGCAATTTTGAGACACACACACACAGATGAAAGGGAAGAACTGACACTCAACAAGAAACTGCCAGACTGAACCTAGAGGATGCTTCTACACAAACAGAATACCTATAGGCAGAATGCCTATTGCTGTTAGCAGGGGAGTTACGAATAGAAGTTCTAGGCTTAGAGCAAGTTAGGAAAGCTTAGGACTCCTTGACCATGCAGATGACTTGTGAGGCGTATTTTACACACAGTTGTTAAAAAGAATAACCCTGTTCTTTCTAATAGTTTCACTTCCACTGCATTTTACGTCAACAAATCTCAAATCCCCACAGCAAGCATCAGAATCTTCATTTTGCATAAGAATGGACAGCTTGCTCAAGATGACAAATACAGTTAGTGGTAGGAACTACCCCCTTCATGGTCTTGACTCATAGGCTAATACACTGCCTTATGTCATGCTGCTTCTCCATCAGTCAGGCAAGTTTCAGAAAATTCAGACTTCAGATTGGAAAGCTCCCAAATGCAGATTCATACCAAACATCAACACAGCCAAAAATAAGCTAGAATTTTCATAGAAAAGGTCAAGATGGCATATCTAGGACCTCTGCTTCTAGTCAGGAAACTGCCCCTCACACCCACACAAACAGCCAGTTTGCTGGAATTTCCAACTTCGGCCCCAACCACAACTGTAAGTACAATATTAAAAGGGAAAACCATGGGGTAAAGGGAGTGGAAGAATCCCATCACATCATCGAAGTTCCAAAATTATTTAGATTAACTCTGTGATGAAAAAAATGAAGGAAATAATTGTAGATCTTTATTCAAACCAGCTTGACCATTCTGAATGCCAAAAGAAAATTCACAAGAAATACTATGACAAATATTGCTTATTAGAATGTAAATAGAACATGCCAGACACAGAGACATAAAAACTGAATCCACAATCAATCCACTTCAGCATCAGCTCTCCACTGGGCCCTTGTACCAGCTGCTTCAGGGAAAAGAAACTCTTTAAACAGTTACTATAGAATAATGGGGGGCGGGGGGGAAGGTTTCTTCCTGACTTTTCCTTATTTACTGTTCTCCTTCTGGAGATCTTGGTTGTGTACTTCTTTTTGAAACAGCTCTGTCTTCTTATTTTTCGTTTTTGAATCTTGCTGAACTCCACATCTCAAACAACACTCCGAGTCAGTGAGTTCCACACGCTAGTTTTCGAAGTCTCCACAAATACTCACAATTTTTAATGTGCCAGTTCATGATTTAACGAACTGCTGCTGTCCCCACTTATGTTATTTACCTAGAAACTGGCAAGCAGAACCTAGACCTAGATCTGGAACTGAGTAATATATGAAGCTGCTGTTTTACATAAAATTGCTCACAATCCACAAACTGTCAGTTTTAATCCTACCTAGCATGTTGCACTTCTGCTTTTACCCTTTCCTTCCTCCCCACGTTTCTACAAAAATACTGTTATTTTGTTAAAGAATATTATTGAAGCTGCCAGGTTGCTCAAAGCTTTATCTGTCTCAGTAATCCAGTTGGATCATATCCCGCGTGAACAGAAAATATTCCAGATACATACATGGAATATTTGGTCACAATGAAAATGATACACAGAGAACTTAATTTACAAAATAAACATCAACAATTTTGTCAATGCAAGCCCAGATGGACTAAAGCTAACCAGCTCTTAGGCTGGCATTTTTCTAAAGAATCACAAAGCACAGACATCCCCAACTGGCAGACACTGACAGATAACCATCAAGAAAGACCATCAGCCACCTCAAAGCATACACAACAATTTGGCGTTGCTTTTGTGGGAAAATGAGGATTTGCTTCCTACCTGTCAATGATCACGGGGTCAGACGGAGTCTCATTTCTGTTGCCGCAACTTTTCTTCTCACAGCACCGACTAGAAAGAGAAAGAAAACCAAAATTAAAGAATTACTGGGACAGTTGATAGCAAAGCAACCAGCTAAAAGTCTTGTCTGCAAACCTTCAGGACTCAATATATGCCTAGAAAAGTGACTGAGAAAATTTTGGCTAGGCTTTCCGGAAGGGAGAAGAACTAAGGGAATTGGGTGCCCAAATCCTGGTTGATTCCAGCTGGAGTTTCCACTTGGCTCCCCGCAGCCTTTTTTGAAATTCCCAGCCAAAAATGAACAGCAATATGGTCACACTTTAGACTAAGGCGCTATTTATAAAGGCTTAATAAATGATTAGCAGATGTCATAATGACATTACAGGCATGAGTATCATGTGTTATGTATGGTTAAAAGTCCATCAAAAGGTGTTAGAACTGACTATAAGCAACCTATTGATTTGTTATATTCTAATAACTGATTTGTTGATTATTAAATATCTAGCAACCCCTATGTTTCACACATCCACAGAAAACTTCAATGCTATAGTAGCACCAATGAAAAAAACAGAAACTGAACATACTTAAATCCTACTAAGGATCTGAAGAGATATTTTCTCAGGTTGGCATTTCATCTGTAAATTCCTTTGCAATTGTTTTAGTGACGATAAGCCGTTAAGATTAAGCATGTATTTATACACATTTTATATTGTGTGGCCACCAACATGATTGTATGGAAATCAGAACTCTCTCTGATGAGCTCACAACACAAAATAAATATATTTATCTGACTTGGTAAGAAAATGTGAGATAATGCTGTTGCCCTCAGGAGCTTGCAGTAAGGTTCATATTGCAGAATGATATCCGTGTTATGTCCACATCTATGCATGTGTGCACACACACATACGCAAAGACGACTCTGTGTGTGTATATATGTATGTGTGCACGCATGCACGGATGTATACATATATATACAGGTATATCAGGAGATGATACAGAAGAACACAACCTACACTCAGGAACTACTTGATGTTCTTCACTCCCAGCAAATTAAACTTTCTTCAGGAAAGAAGAACAGAACCACTGCATTTCCTTTTCCCATTTTTAATAATAATTTATACTTTTTGTTCTTCACTCCCAGCAAATTAAACTTTCTTCAGGAAAGAAGAACAGAACCACTGCATTTCCTTTTCCCATTTTTAATAATAATTTAAAAAAAAAAGAAAAAAGAATCGACAGGTCGTTATTTGATTTCCACTGATATACTCATTGACATGGGTGATGCCCCTTGCATATACGCCAGCTGAGTACCAAAAGCTTAACAGACTTTAAACAGTCCTTGTTCTGAAATTCTCAATTTTAAAAATTGGTAGCAACACAGAAGTCTGTTAGAAGATTTAAGCTGTCTTGATGCTCAGATAGTTTGTTCCAACCAAAGCTAACATGGAGGGGGAGGATGGAGGCATCCAAAACTTTAAGTAGACTATATCAGAAGTCCCATATGCCTCAGAAGTCACCAGATCAGATTCTGCCTTAAGTTACACAAATGCCTTTCCAAGTTATGTTTTTCACATTCTGCTGAGGTTGTTCAAATTTATACATAGGGAATCAAGAAATCGTTTAGGTTTTTGCACAGTGGTATAATAGGTGCTGAAGACATTTGCAAAATTCTCAAGTCAGTCTGAATTCCATGGTTTTCCAACTGGGGAGCAATTCCAAGCAGAGGAATTTAAAAAAATTAAATAAAATGCTGAATTCACTGAAGGCAGTACAAAATATGAAAGAGTAGCTTTTTTTCTTGCACTGCCTAATATTCAATTATAAATACCTAAAATAAGCATTTAGACAAAAAACCTCTTTCAGATATGAAAAATTTCAAATGCATGCGTTTTCTCCTTAAGTTACAGTGTGTGCCAGGAACTTCCCACTTGCAAGCTGAAATTGCCCAGCAAGATGAGATACAACTAGCAGATCTATTTGAATAGCAGCTCTAACTGTTTCAACGTTTCTACATTCCCTTTTCCTCAAACCTGCACTTATTCATCGATGCTAGTCCTTTTAAAATAAAAGGATACACTAAATATTTAAAAATCCCTGGGGCAGACCCTCTAGTTGCTGTAAATTGTCATAGCTCCATCGACTTCAGTGAAGCTATGGTAATTCACGCTAGCTAAGAATATCCTCACTCCCTCCTTCTCCCAACTTTGTTTTAAGTGCATCTTTTATGCATTTCACTGCCTAATGACTGTTTATAAAGAATTGATATTTTTTGTACTAAAAGCCAAGATGCGAGATATTTTCTAAAGGAAAAAAAAAAAGCCAAAACCCCTCACTCAACAGAATATAAATTTGGCATGTATTTCTGACATGTCCAATATAACAATGCATTGGAAATAACACTAGGAATAAATGGTTTACATTGCTGGTTTACATGCCGCTATAATAAAACAACAAAAGGAACTCAATTTTTAAAATAGTTTTGTAGTGTTTTGTTGTTGGGTTGCTTTTTTTTTTTTTACATCTAGCTAAAACAGCAGTCATTTCCTCTCTTTGCAATAATACTAAATGAGATATCCTTTAGTTGTGTAACTTATGCAGATGGTCATAAAAAATATTTCTGATTGCGCTACACAACAGTAACGTTCAAGCAGAACACACTAGCAGCACCTCCATCACACCTCATCAGCTCGTATACTCCTCCCAGAGAGGTTGCCATTTCTTGGCATAGTAAGTATTTTAGAATGAATTATGCGAGATTGGAGTACAACGTGGCTAGGTTCTGAAATAAGCGCATCTTGTTTTATTTTAGTTTGTACAATTATCACAGTTAAGAACTTTACCTTTGTAATACTTAAAAATTTTCCTCCTAAAACTTCGGGTTACAGCTGAAGTTCTCCAAATATTTTACAAATATCACACTCGGGTAACAGATTTTTGTTACAGCGCTAGATTTTTTTCCCTTTGACCATAATACTTTTTGAGCCCAAACATATATGAAAAAATGTCGATTAGGGAAAACAGTCACTCACTTCCAGTGAATGACTAGTTCACTAGTAAATTGGAGTGCTTTTAAAGACTGAGAATGTTTCAGCCCAGCGTTCTAGCAAAAGTACCTCTCAAATCTTTAAATCCCTGTTTCCAGGTATTTCTTCACAGTATCCAAACACTAACATTTCCACTGGGTTTGTTTTACAAGTGCTGTCTGTAATAGAATCGACTTGTTCCAATTTATGTCAATGGCAAAAATCCCAAACTCTGGTGGCCCAGGATCAAGCCTACAATATTCTCTTAAAGCAAATTATTGGCATGACTTCACCAACATTTACACTTCTGCTACAATGTTGTGCTAGGAACATACCTTTAGAGATGCTCATTTGCTTAAAACAAGAATACCAAGGCCTAAGACTTCTATTTTCTACACCTTTTCTTATTATACTTTCCCCTCTAACTAGATCTACATGGGAAAAACAATGGTTTACATTATGAACAGTTCTGAAAAAAAACCTAAAAACAAACAGAAAACAAAAAGCTACCACAGACAACACCAGATCTACAAACTGAATACTCCAGAAGGCTCATGTCAAAGGCAAACTTGCATCCTTTCCCTCCTCACACTTGACTAAAATGGTTTTAAAATTCAGCCCTCAACTTCCCTCCCCTCCCCCCCCCCCAAAAAAAAAAAAAAAAAAAATCTGTCTCTAATTTCAAACTCAAATAAGCTCACAGCATGGTGGCCTTTGTTTTGTTTTCTTCTCTCCAACTCCTCCCTGCAATTGCATAACAAAAGTGTCTAAATTCACACCATCTGGCCGATAAAGACACAGGCCCCAGTGGCCGCCTGGCCCAGCTGATTAGAGCTCCTGTCTAGTCTGAGCCTTGTGGCGAAAGTCACAGCTGTGGGGCTTGCTTGCACTCAATACAACTCTGTTATTAGCCAGCTGTAGGCCCTGAGACTACTTCTGTTCAAATTATACCACCTTTTAACCCTCTGAGCATTGAGGGCATGGGGGGTTGCTGGCAGCAGCATAACAACTAGTTTCCTCTTAGTCGATAATTGGAAGAAAAAGAGGAGAAAAAAGTTATTCCAGGAGAGGAGACTGTTTACCTTGATTTCCAACCACTGGGGGGAAAGACTGTGTATTTAAGATAGACCCACCTAATAGGAACAGTTCCCATTAGGCCGCAATAACCCAAATGAAAAATTTCAGATCTGCTAATAAATAAACAGAGCCTCTCACTGAAAGCACTAATTATTGAGAGTTGAGAGTTAACTTTCAATTGGTATGACAGATTGTTGTAGCCGTATCAATATTTAGACAACTTTCCTGCTAAGTATGCATCTGTCACTGTCTGAGTGGAAGATGCGGAGTTTTGGATGCACTTGTCTCTACACAGCAAGAATATCTGCGTGTGTGATTACATACAAAAAAATACCAAAAAAGCACCTACTTTCAACTAGCAAGAATCGGAAGAAGAGGAGCAGAAGGACAGGCAGACCCTTCTTTTTAAAAACAGTAAGCATCAATTTGGACAGCAGAGTGGGTACAGTGCATTAAATTTTTATATACTGTTACTAATGCAAACTAAACTAGGGGCTTTAAAAATTGATGCTGCCACTTAAGCAGCACACAATGAGGAAGATTTGATTATTGTACTTAAAAGAAATAAAATAAAATGTCAAGTTTAACTAGAGTTGGATCCGTTCCCTTGGCATTATTCAAAGTGATATGTGTAATGCCTCTTCAGAATACGCAGCATCCTGTTCAGAGATACTTTAGAAAAACACGACATTTAAAATCAAATGTCTTGATTAGGTTACAGAGTGCTTTTGATTTCGTTCACTAATCTGTGTTTTACATGGAAAGGACGTCCCTGAGTTGTAATTCTTCCTTGGCTAATCTATGAAGCAGGAGAGCTCAGTATAATCGGAGTAACGGTTTACATTTGTAGAACGCTACCTTAAATCAAGCACAAAATATGTTTACAGGCATCAGTGGAGGCCAGGTATATAAAAGCTGAACAGAGCATCTGATACTATAAAGGCATGGAGAGGAAGCAGGGGAAAAAGCCAAATTAATTTTATTTTAAAGAAGTACATTTGGATGGGAAGGTGCTGGTGTTTGTGGAAATATTTTAACTTCTAAAATAGAACTGCACTCTATAAAGGAAGAGTGGAGAAAGATTAAGTACGCTGTTATTTTGTTACCACAAACCAGGACCCAACTGCATAGCAACACAAAGATTTTTCTTCTCTACTGTTCACCTAGTTATAGTGAAGACTTTCAACAATATGGTTAGCATATATATTTAAATATGCATGCAAGTTCTAGATGTGCCAGAAAGTAACATATATACCTTTGATCTTTGCTACTACATCTACAGGTCCTCGTAAAGCGCACCATATGCGTCTCTCATACATGATATACGCTGTGTTTGTGCATACGTATGTGGATGTTGGTCAAAAGTAACAGTGCTCATTTTCTTAATGAGAGCAAAGCACAACAGATAAACGCTATACATTTACTTGATTCTCATTATATTTAAAAAGTAATGGAATAGTTGATGTAATTGTTAAGTACTGAAACTGAGACTTTCCCTTGACAAGAAATCTGTCCAAATAAGCTGCTTACTACTATATTAACTTAAAAGGCCACTTTAAAAAAAAAAAAAAAAAATCAAGTAGCAAACTGCAACATTAAAAGAAGCAACGTTCAGTCCAACAGCTTAACCCCCTCCCACTAATACAATAAATCACAAACTGCGTTTAATAAAGGTCAAGATTGGTTTTGCCTTTCATTTTATGAAAGAACATTCTATGCACAATTTAACACATTTTAATATAAGAACATTGACTGTTTGCATTGCTATATGTATATCAAGTAGCAAACTGCAACATTAAAAGAAGCAACGTTCAGTCCAACAGCTTAACCCCCTCCCACTAATACAATAAATCACAAACTGCGTTTAATAAAGGTCAAGATTGGTTTTGCCTTTCATTTTATGAAAGAACATTCTATGCACAATTTAACACATTTTAATATAAGAACATTGACTGTTTGCATTGCTATATGTATTTAAAAAAATTTAGTTACACGAGAACAGGAAAAGTAATAATGTACCATGGAAGCATGATGTACATACATACGGTACATGTAACTTCAGACTTACACAAATGTTATTAAAAACATCCTCAACTCATTTTACCCTCTAATTTATAACTTTACATGCTAAAAATAGTGTCTTTTTTAATTAAAAGGTGGAAGTCCCCTAAATATTACTTACATGGTATAGAAAAGAAGGATTTGTGTTTTGGTTTGATGGGTTTCTTTTTTGGTTGGGGTAGAAATAAGCAAAATTAAAGAACATTAATGATGATAATTTAATTAAGAAAATTAAAATGTTTCACCAGAGAAAATTACATGAAGAACGCCTTTTAGTTTCCAGGTAAAAATCTGTAAGTTAAACTGCTCATTCTCAAGAGGTGAACAGGGATTTTGTAAGAAATAAGCATATGAAAAGTCTTGATTTAAACACCACATACAAAGGCCTAGTCTAAACAAAAATAGCGCAGCTCAGACTGTGGACCTGGGGTTGCTAAATCTCTTGCAGTAAAAAAAAAAACCAACCAAAACCAACAACAACAAAACAAAAAACACCAAAAAAATCCAAATATCTGTATGGAACTCAAATATTATCTACATGTAAAAAGAAAGTCTTCCTACACAAAGAATCTGACTCAACAACAAAACAAACAAACAAAATCAAACTCTTCCGAACTACAACTTCATTGGAAAGACCATTTTGGCATCTATGGAAACAAACTTAAAAAATGATATGCCGTTAATAAAGTCATCTTACCTGCACATGACTTCATGGGTAAGCAAAACTCTGCACATTTCAGGATTCTTGTTCTGTCCTTCGTAAGTTATGGGCTACAAAAATTAAGAAAAGGCGTAAGCCAGTAGTGTCAAGGGGTTACTTATTTGTCATAATATTCAGATCTGAGGTGAAGGCTTTTTACCATTGCTCACCATTGCTTGCAAATAAATACCTTCCCCCAAAGCCTTTATGAGCAGGGAAAGCAGCTTATACATAAATATTGATAAAAAGTGGATAAAAACCTACAATCCGTAGAGGAAGAAAGAGACTTAAGAGCATTACTTTTCAATTGCCCTCAAAAATAAGGTCTGCAATACAGATGAAGAAGAGACAAAAATGAACCAGAGAAGAAAAAACATGCAGGGCAACGTTAAGAAAAAAGGAAGGATGAGGCAGGACAGGATAGCACGGCACATGTTAGCTATGCTCACCTGCTTAGTGACTGAATCGATGAGTCTAACATACAGATCCTGTTCAGTCCTGACACCTAGAGCAAGAGAGAAGAGTAATAAGTAATGCTGTTACATGCATCTTTCCCTAAACATCAGAACAAAACCATTTAGTGGTTTTGTTATTATTAAACATCCTCAGAAAGACCATTTAGTTTTGTTTCCTCCAGCGTGTTTCCCAAGCCCATCCACACCAGGTAAACTTCAGAGCCCATCCCTACACTGAAGGGGCATCATGCAAGGGAATTTCTGTGTATTTTAGAAGTGACAGTGACAGCACCTACAAACCTTGCCTCACTGTACAACCTACAGAAGGTGACTGGAAAGGGGACTCACCATTGCTATAAAGGAGTTGGAGTTTGTAATGCGTGCCGTTGTTCGTCTTTTCATTGCCTTGCTCCTGAAAGAGAGAATTTAAAAAAAAAAAAAAAATCTTCCAGAACTTACACTTGGCACATTTAAAATGCAAAAGCTGATAATCATGATGGAAGTGACAACAAAAGTTCATTAAAATTCTGAGAGGTGAATCCACTGATTGGGATATATTAACCTTCCGAATGACCCAGGACAAACTACAAAATACTGCTGACATCTTTTCCTGTAGGAGTTCAAGAACTTCTTTTCCTCTCTTATTTGCTATTATGCTCTCAACTTTTTCAAGGCAATACACTGAGATGAATTTTTACATCTCAAGTCAGTTAATATAAAGCAGATTGATCATGGGAAAGCTCAGTGGGTTTTGTTTTTAATGTGTTCATTACTTTGCAGTAGTGTTATTTTGAGTCACATATAGCAAATAAATTGATATTTACTTCCTGAAGGTTGTGTTACGGGGATGTTTCTTGCATGTTTTTTTACTGTAATATCCTAGAAGATAATTATTTATGAGCATCCTTCATAATTTAAAAAAAATCTTGTCCATGACTAAGAAAATAATAATTCTAAAAACAACGTGAAGTGGTCAACACATAGATTTAAAATCCAAAAGCAAATGCTTTTCAAGTCCTGCCATGGACTTTAGAGTGTTAAGAAATACATATAATCAAGCTCAACAGATAATATGACATATTACAGGTCAGATTCCGCTTCTGTTAGGGTACTAATAAAACTTGGCAGATCTGGTAGGTACAAAAAAAAAAAAAAGCACACTTGTCCCCCATTAATTTTTTTATTCTATTTTTAGTGGGTGTATGAAATTCCCATTGTATTCCCGATACAGCAGAGGCTTGCAAGCCTTTTTAACTACAGCAGCACGCAGAGGACAACAGCTCTACCAAAGCACCTGAACCCTTGACCAAGAGCTGGTTGTATTTTGTTAGGGACAACAGATATTAAAAGTTAGCAGCTCAACGGGGCAGAAGAAAAGATCAAATTTGGAGAGGAAAAGAGGAAGAAGAAAGATAACAAGCCTTACTTTATCATTTTCTACAAAGTCCACAAAAGCTGTCCTCTCTATTTCCACGGGCTGCCCCTGTCTGTCGTAGAGAGCCAGAACAAAGTGAAAGAAATTGGATTTCCTCAAGTTGGAGGGTGGCTGCTTTTCAAAGTGAGCTCTGGACAAAGCTACTCCGCTGTGGAGGAAACATACAGGATAGGGTGTGGGGGGAGAGACAAAGACATTACCAGGTTGTGCAGTAGTAACAGCAAAACAACAACAGAAAAGGCAGAACACATTCAGAGAAGCGCCGGGAATCGTCCACCTTGTGCGAGTGCCGCACTAGGTTACGAACGGTCACTTGTCATCACCGACTCCGACCTTGGCGCTTTCCCATCGCCGCGGGCACGCACAGCGGCTCCGCTCTTCAGAGCGGGACGGCAGGGAGGGCTGGAAGCGGCTGCGGCCGAACACGGCGCCGGGGCGGGGGGGGGAAGGGGCGATGCCGAAGTTTGAAGCTGTCATTGTAACGCTCGTTTCGGCTTGGCCCCGGTATCTTTATAGTTAGGCTCTAAGGACAAGAATAATTTACAGACCCCGGATGTTAAGAGATCGGTTCTTGCTAAATGCAGTAAGCGTTTTACTTCCTCCTCTACCTATTTTCTTCTCTCCTGTCACACTCATTTCTGGGATGCAACACGGAGGGTGGGAAGTAGATGCAACATATCAGAGAGTCTGGAAGTGCTATCTGTACATCATCCCAGCACCGCTCACTTTTCCTGTAGGAGAAGACAAGCGACCTTAAAACATTTCCTACAAGCGGACTGTCAACTTGAGGGCACCTACGTTTTAGGTAAAAGACAACTAGGTTCAAGCACAGCATCCACTTTCCTCAGTGGCGAAGTTTGTCAATGTAGTCTTTAGTCACTGACCTATTTGAACCGATGCCTGCATTTTCAATTTCTGATCTAAATTGAAAGAGTTTAGATACAGGTTAACTAGCTCTAGCCCAAATCTTGTCTCTGACTGCAGAAAACGTGGTGATGTTTCCCACACATTTCCCGGCTTGGAACGATTCAAACGCTCTTGCGTATCCACAAAAACTGCAGCTACATTTCTTAATGAAATTAGTTGTAGCTCCCTCTCCCTAATGCTGATTTCTACCTACTGCAGAGAAAATAAGTGCACATGAGCACCTCCGTATTACTTAATAGACAGATTAAGTCTATCTGTCAGACAAGTTAGGAGTCAGAACAGCTTCGGTTTTCAGTCCCCAAAATAGCTCCACTGCACTGGCCAAAGTATTTGACTCCCTCGGAGAACTACAGATGTTTCCCTGCGTTTTCCATTGCCAAATAGGTACAGTGTGAACTCACCGCATCTGCCACAACTGCACCTAGTTTGGGGCTTCCTCTCACTCTGCATGCAAGAACTCGGATTTCTTGGTTTGTTACGGATCTCTGAAAAAACCTGGCGATGCCACCACCTAGCACAATGCGACTGCATCTCCACCGCTCCCGCGAATTAGAGGCTTCTTAGGAGCCCTTTCCTTTTACTTTCGGTTTCCCCAGGAATAAACCTCTCCCCCCCCCCCCCCTCCCCCCCCCATCGTATTTATTAAACCGTCTATCGACATTCATAAAACTCTGGTAACTCCTCCCATAGTGCTTGGAAAACCTTGCTCACGGATCAGGCCGTGGGTGGGGGCATAGATGTACTTATTTCTATAACGTCCCTGTTTCATTTGAAGTCCCATCTGCCCTTCACCTTGTCTCTATATTAAATAAACCCCAACTTATTCCCGGGACCAATTTAGTCTTCCCGAACGCTACTACTTTTTTTTTCTTTTTTTTAAAAAGTTATCCAGAGAGCGTGAGGGGGGGGGGGGGGGGGGGGAGTATTTTACCTAAAAGGCTTTTTCATCGTCTTACCCGTAACGGGAAGAGACTGGAATAACGGTCCTGTGCCGACTTGGCTGGGAAGAGAAAATAAATGGGGGGGAAGCTACCCTGCCCAAACAAGTATAAAACAAACAGACAAGCCCCCAGTTCGGTGCGTTTACTAGCGTTTCCCATCAGCAGAGACCTTTCGCACACGCAGGCAGGTGCTACACACGAGCAAGCGTGAGGTTTGAAGGTGGTCAGCGCAGGAA